AGTGCCATTTGAAGTACATACCGTACTCTTATTTCTCGCGAGATAGTCAGCGCAAGGTGAAGGGCGTAGTCATGAATTCCAACAAGGAAGTCAAGTGGGTAGTGCAGGGTACGTGGGATTCAAAGATCGAAATAGCGCCAGTAATCAGCACGTCTGGCACACCCGATAATCCAGTTTATAAAACAGGTCCTTATATATTAGCTTGGAAACGACGTATGCCTACGTAAGTATGTAGTAATAATATACGTGTAAAAATTAAACCTGTTTACTGATATCTCTTACTTATGTGATGAAAGCAACATTTTATATAATATACGTATCAACAACTTTTCCCAACAGAATTAATTTCCATTCTGAAAAGTACATCTCAAAAAACAAAAGTCGATCGAAAAGATCTTTTGTTAGAAAGGACACAATATTTTTCGCGGCTGTTCGTTTTATTTCTACATTTCATTATGTATTTTTCTTTATGAAAACTGAAAACACAATCATAACAGTGACGCTAAAGTAACAATATTTATGAGAAATAAAGTTACCTAATTAAATATTAAATAATTTTTGTACCGATCGTAAATTGTCAAACAAACAAGGAAAGAATTATCGCCTATAACAGTCAAAGCTAGATCAAAGTGCTTATTATAAATATGTGTGAATTTTTATATACATATACTACATATGTAGTCCCCCCATAATTGCGCGCTGATACAATCAGACATATAACGCATAAATACTACAGTAGTATTATAATATCACCGATAAATACTTGATTAATTACAAATAAATATAAAGATGTTAATTTAAAATTTTAAATATGGGGGGACTACATATGTAGTATATATAAAAATTCACACATATTTATAATAAGCACTTTGATCTAGCTTTGACCGTTACAGGCGATAATTCTTTCCTTGTTTGTTTACCTAATTAAATTCTTATTAATATCGTTACGAAATTTCTATTAATTGTGCTTCAATCATTTAAATCTTGATCATCTAACCCTTGAATCAACAACTATGAATTAGTTTTTAAATTATTGTAACATAATTGACGATTTCAACAATGTGAATAAGGATTTTATTCTTTATTTCAATGTATCAATTTTTTCTTGAATACATAGCGCTTTTATTATAATTAATTAATAATTTTAGATTAAGTTCATAAGTAAAATGCCTCATCTTTATTTATTTGTAATATTTTTGAAATATGTCTAAAATATATTTCAATACTTTAATATAATATTGCAGTGAAGACTCCGAGAAATATTATTCGTTCACGGAGCTAGCGTGTCAATTGAACGAACCAGAAGAAGGTATAGCTCCAACAGATTCTCGATTGAGGCCTGATCAGCGATTAATGGAGGATGGACGGTGGGACGAAGCCAATGCAGAAAAATTGCGTTTAGAGGAAAAACAAAGAGCTGCTAGACGAACTCGCGAGCATGACTCCGAAAAGGCTGCTGCACAAGGTATGTTGGTTTATATCATTAAATCGTGAAAATTAAGTTCTTTTGTTCATAGAATTTCGTGTTTCTCCGCAGGATTATCTTATGAGACATACGAACCGCTATGGTTTAGAAAGAAGCAGGATCCGTACACGGATAGTCGTTGTTATGTTTATAATGGCGAATATTGGGATCATAAAAACAAAGGTGACTGGTCACGATGTCCGAACATATTTTAGTTTGTTATATAGATAGATTCGATTACAATATGACTTTGTCACATACCTGCAGTGCGTGAAGAAGTTTGAATCGTTTGAAAGTGACGGTAGCCGAGATTAGTCACGACCGCTCGTGGTCGAGATTTAAATGCTTATGAAATAACGTTGACGTGATAATGGGGTTGTTACGGGAATATGGTTTAGCAATTAATTCTTCCAATGGAGTGGACGAAACTTGTTGGCAACTCTGACATGTACAATATGCAATTTGTACTTGCATGTCATCGCCTTCATTATTTTTTTCTACCTCTCCCCCTTTCTTTCCCCTCTTTCTTCCCTGTCCTTGTTTTTGTCTTTTTTTTTTTTTCGAATAATGAAAAAAAACTAATATTTAATCTCTCCCAATATGATATTTTATTAATATGCACTTATGTGCTATTTTTTTAAGATTTTGTGCTGAATTAATGAGTAACCAATCTTGAATTTTTACGTTTATTATATTAGCTATATGTAGGAATTCGTAAAAAAAATTGAAGCTTGAATAAGTCGAATAAATTTCGAATATTTCATTACTTTAGCCTAAAATCAAGGTAGTAATAAGAAGAGAGGATAAAAAACTACTGTCATTGGAAAGGAAGGATTTCAAATCAAATTTAATATTCTATTATTATAATATATTCAGTATTTTCAATTTATGTTTAGATAAATATGAATCTAATTTTCTAGAAATGAATTTGAACTAGAATTTTATCGAAATCGCGATAATGTGCTATTACATGTACGAAAATCCTGTGTATTTCATTATTTTTAATCTATCATAATCCATCATTGGAAAGTATTTGTATAAACATAGAAAAAGATGTGCAACGAGAATTAAAATCGAGCTGATACACTCGATTTGAATTAGTATAAAACAAGATACGACGACGGTTTCTCTTATTTATTTTTACTATACGAATTATTTTTAGAGAAAAAAAAACGTCTCCATATATTAAAAATCAAATTGATTTTTATGCGTATCAATAGTTGTAACTTTTTATAATTCTTCCCTCATTGCGCATTTTTTACTCGACCTGATGTCATGACAAAAAAGTCTGAGAAGTGAAAATAAAAAAAAGAGTATTACGAATACAAGGAACAGTAAAATTACATACATAGGAAAGTTTATTCAGTGATTTTGAATACACCGCGCGCGACGTTTGACATTTTACACACATAATAAACCGACGACGATGCTTCCAAGTTTGGCCAGCGTTGTTTTTTTTTTTTGTAAGAAGAAAGAAAGGAAAAAAGAAACCATGCTGTTTCACGTCTGCGCAGATTTCAAGCACGCTGGATACGCTCCGAATACTTAACAAAGCTGTAACAGAAGTATGGGTTGTCACCGGAATGACAAAAGCAAAACGAGGCACGAATCGAAGGCTCCTAAGTGCTGTTCCGGCCGATTAAAAAAAAAGAATCGAAATCGAGCCCCGAACGTAACGATCATTTTTTTTCTCGAAATTATCGCTGTAGCATAGATACCATAAGCACGTGCGACCGATTTATAGCGAATGACTTGCGCGTGTACGTACGTACGTGTTTGTATGTATGTATGTATGTATGTATGTATGTATGTATGTATGTATGTATGCCAGTATGTATATAAAAGCATTAATTGATGAAACTTATTGTATATCCCTCTTACTTGCGAGCACATAAACCGTTCCATTCGCGTTATTATCAGGTATATACAAGCTGCCTTGTACAAGTATACATGTACCTCGATAAACCGAACGGAACGACTAGTTTGCAGCCAATGTCTATAATGATCATTACACTAAGTCCTCTGGCTGTATTATAATTTTAATAGTTTATAATAATTGAAATTATTATATATATTATACACACGTCTGTATACATATAAATACAAAAATTATAAAAATAAATAATTTAACAAAATTCTCGACGCGATTGTGTGTGTTGCGATTGAGAGAGAGAGAGAGAGAGAGAGCGCTGAGTAATGTGAAGCTGAATCATTATATATATATATAGTGCTTGTACATTAGCCAATTTGGGGGAGAGAGAGAAATACAAATATGCTTCGCTATAAAGAGATATTCATTTCTCTGTAATGGCGTCTCCTTTCTAGCCACCCATCGTTGGTTGCATAAAAGGCCCTAATTGTATTATAAACGACTCTTTGTTTTGTCGAATAAATTATATTGAATCAATTATATATAAAAGAACTATAAACAATTCGAATCAATATGAATTATATGCCCATTTGCATCAATGTAGATTAACTTTAATCTTAAATCGAGCTCGATTTAACATATTCTTTATTTTTTTTTTTTTTTAATTATCTATCTCACTAATGTATTATAGATTATTAAATTTTGGATCAATGTATCCTTAGTAATTTTTATGCTCGTTTCTACCAATGTAGATCAACTTTATCTCGATTTAATTTGTTTCTTATTTTTTCTAATTCTTAGAATTAGAGTTAGATAAGGTACGCTTATCTCTAACAATGTAGATTGATTTCAGTTTTAATTTCAGTTCAATTTACTCTCTTTCTAATTCTTATAGGAGGGTAAAAGAATAAAACGACATGGAAATTCAATCCAGATTAAAATTAATCTTATATTGATAGAAATGAGCATTAATTGAATCGAGATTAAAATTAAACTCTATACTCGTTGGTATAAAGGAGCATTAGAAAAAGATGAAGAATAAGTTGAACCGAAACTAATTTACGTTTATGGAACCCTGCACATAGTTCGCTGTGGGAATATTTTATTACTTAACGTTTCGTTTTCTTTTGATCCAGGGTTTTTTGCGTTACTACGCAGGTCGGTAAAAAAAGATGCCCTCTTTCCCGGCAGCAATTTTTTTGATAAAGTTGTTGAATAATAATTTTTGATATTTATGTTAACGTATAATGCATGATTGGAGTTTAAGGAATTTTTCCGAAATCTTCGTAAAGGCCCGATCAGGGGCGCACCCCAAAGGAAGACCTGCATGAAATCCAGTGGGTGAAATTGCAAATCGTGGCGTGACTGTCGAGAGTTTTCGTTGGTTTTCGTCTCGTCCGGCCGGTGTTCCCGGTTCGCGCGTTCCGCCATCTGGTTCCGCGTTCCTCGTTTCCGCGGGCGGTATTTTAAGGAGAGGAGGCGCGATGGAGCCTATCTCGCGTACGCGAGCTGTTTAATAAATGAGATCAGCTGAAGAAAACAAAAAGAGAGAATGTTTTTTTCGGGTAGTCCAGGGCGAATCGTGCGTGATCGTGCGTCGTGTGTGCGCGCGCGCGGCATTGCGCGCTTGCGCCCTAGGTCCGTCGAGATGGCATGGCGGCGGAGAAGAGCAATGACGTCACGGGCGTAGGAATACACGGCGCGAGCGCATGGCGAGCGGAGTCAATCCGCGGAGCTGCTGCGCGAGAGAGAGACTGGGAACTGCTTTCGATTGTTGGCGGGCGCCGCCATCTTGGTCAGTGAGCCTGCGAGTGGCCTGGACGTCTCCGTGGTGCGGAGTGGCTTCGTTGTGCGTATTTCAGGCGGTCGTGTTTGCCGAACGGGTTATTCCGTGCGCGTGTCTCTCCCCCGCGTGAGTCTCTCGTTATCCGTTTAACCAGTGAGATCCGCGCGCGTATCCGAGATGTCGGAACGGGAGGACAACGTTTACAAGGCGAAACTGGCCGAGCAAGCGGAACGCTACGACGGTAAGTAGATTGGGGGAGGGGGGGGGGGGGGGGGGCAGGGCAGGGCAGGGGGACAACCTAGCTAGCCGGTTCGTGTCCGCGAAACTCTACCGATCTACGTCCCGCGCCGCGGCGATTCGTTCGCGTCTCGCGCGTTCGCGTCAACGGGCTCCCCCCCTCCCCCTCTCCTCCACCTCCCCCGGGTCGAAGCTCGTCGCGGAGAAGCCTTTCTCGTCGAGTAACCTTTCCTATTGTTATTATCGTCCTCGCACGGAGGCTGCCGACGCTCTCGCGTCGCGTATCTGTCAAAATCGGCGGCGCGATCGCAGTTCGTCGTCATAGCCGGGCGGCGTTCCTTTGTGGCGGCGCCAGACGCGCGGATATCGACTCGTGTCATTCGCGACGGTCGATCCGGCGAGGCCCGCCCGCTCGTCCGTCCGTCCGGCTGAAGCCCCGGGGGGGGGCCACGCACTCTCTCGCGTTTCCTTATCTACTCTTTTTAGCTCAACCCTAGCCCTCTTTTCTCTTTGAAGAGAAATGGACCGTACAAGCGAAATTTATCTGTAAGATCGGTTCTCCCCCTCCCCTCCCCTCCCCTCCCCTCCCATTATTCCGTTGCTCTGAAATGTCCCGGTGGCCACGCGTTGCCACGCGTTGCTAGGCGTGCTCCCGGCACGTTCTTCGCCTCCTGTGCCCGAGAGAGAGTCTCTCCGGTAGATAAGCGAAGCGCGATAGGTTCGTTTCTCTGGCTCTCGACCGCCGACGACGGTCGGGAGAGACACGTTGAGGCTAATCGCCCCGCCGGGTTGGGGACTTACGCAGTAAGTAAGTCGCGTGTACCGCATCTGGCCTTGAACGCGCACGAAGGAATCACCGTTTGTGGGACTCGATCGACCGAGGAGAAGGACTGCGTCTAATATTCCTTTTATACTGAGAGCACGTTTTACACCATATCTCTTTGTTTAACATTCCGCGAACGAAAATGGAGCCAAAGAGAGAGAGAGAGAGAGAGAGATGTCGTTTCCGAACTCTCTTCTCGACCGCGTGGATTCTTTGCGCACACGTCCCGTCTCCAACATTTCGGCATTTCTTTCGTCGCGCGAGTCAAGTCCGCTTTAAACACGTATAGGTATAAGATAAAATGGGGAGCGCGTCCCAGCCGGATGTCGCCGACTCGAACGTCTTCCGCTCTCCCCTCCCTTTCCGTATTAGAGCCGGTCCAGGTTAGGCGATTCCTCCGGGAATTAACGGCGTGCAGAAAAAGCAGCTCGTTGTAAGATTCTTGCGAATATGCGATTGAAGGCAAAGGCATTCATATTAAAGAATTAGCTCGACGACTCGTTCGGTGACGTATAGTCACGAGTGACCGGTGCGGGCGGCTCGACGATGACGATTCCATCGATCTCCTCGTGTTCTCGATCGCGACGCGACCTCGCGGACATGCGTGATTATCGAGCGTCGGCACCGCGGCGATTTGGAGCGCTCGTATCGATCGCGTGCGCGCTTGTGCGCGCTTCAAATTCCTATCGCTATCTTTCGGTAATAAAAGTACTCCCGATTTTCACGATCTCGTTGGGCGATGGCAACGCGCGTCCGCGGGACGTGAAGAAGAAGCGTGCGGCAGAGGGGTTGCGAGAGGGACGGTCGGTATCGAGAGGCCACGGAGCGGCGCGACAAGTATAGGAACGCGTGGGAGAGGAAAGAGATGGTCAAATTCCCTGCGCCATACATCTCCAAGATTCCTTAATGCCTGTTCTGTTCTACGATAGAATTGTGAGCCGTAAGAAATTCTTACGGCCGATCGTAGTTGAATATGAAAAGAATAATCGATTGATTAATTTTTTACGACTTGCGACCCTATTGTAGAACAGCTGGGCTATATCTGAGAGGAGAGGGCTGATTCTGTATCTTGAAAATTTCAAAAATCAATGGACTTATACCCACTGGAATATTTGTTATTTCATTGGTGGTCAACACCCATTCAATTTTATTTTGCGAATTACGTCTGTACGCGTTGCTTTTACTTTTTACAATCAGCATCTTTGTTTTCTCTCGCTTCTCGATACATGTATTTATCTCGTTTTAAGCGTAAACATTTTTTTAGGATTTCAAGCAACGTAAACAGACACTTATTTTTACTTCGAAATAAAGAATCGACATTTTGTTCGTGTTGCTACTGTGTACTTTCGCACTTTTTCTTTTTACTCTATTCAGCGCCTATTTGTCTCCTTTTAAGTGCAAAAGTTTTTGGAGATTTCAAGCAATGCGAACAGATTTAAATATGGTATAGTTGGATTGATTAAAATTTTGATTAAAAATGGATCGGTTAAAAATTAAAATTTTTTAGTTAAATATACTTTCTGGTAGATCTACCAATCAAATAAATCCATTACTTAGCAAGTAGATTTAGAAAAAGAATTCTAGTTGAGATAATTGGAATTTTTTTGGATTGATATAATCTGTTCACGTTGCTTGAAACCGAGACCCTACCGCGTTGATTCCCCGTTACTGATTCCCAAAAATTTTAGCAGTTAAAATGAGATTTTATTCGAACTGAGTCCAAAAAGTGCAAATAACGCAAACAGACTTACAATCTTTTAATTCGTCTATTTTCAGCCCCAGACACCCTTCACACAATATACTACTTTTATCTGTGCAGCGCTAGAGCGATTTCTCTCTCCTCTCTTTCTTCTCCTCTCTTTTCCATATGAAAGAAAAAAATGTATTCGTTCCTGGAGCGCGCGATTTATGCACGTAGGTACCTCAGAAGAGAGGGAGATGCATTCATCGGAACGTACTGGAGTAACATACAAAACAGCTTGTAGCGATAATTTCATCGGAGATACGAGAAAAAGAGATACTGCTGCGAACCTTTCGTTCAATAATAATAAAGAAAATGGGCAGAAAATGACAAGAAGAAACGTAATGACGTAAGAGAATGTGGGACGAACTTTCCTTATTCTTTTAAAATCTCATTTCTTTTAACTCGATGATTTAAGGCCAGGTTGTTTTTTTTCCTCATACGTCACCAGATATAACGAGATCAAGAAATCTCGCGCACAAACTCTCGTGCTACTGATTAACGAATCTTTGTTTCTTTCATGGCGCCGTTCTAATTGGCGAATCACTTGTTTTTTCTTTCAGAATTTCTCCAATTAACAAATTCTGTTTTCAGTAGGAAACCACTTTTAATCGACCGAAAGTCAAGTCGATTCAAACACAGTTGTTATATTCTAGTTTCCGCCACTTTTAAAAGTCGTATCGTTCTCTTAGAATCCTCTTTGAAAATGAAATATTGGAATTTCGATGCCAAGCGTAATTACTGAAAGTTCGATGAATGGAAATCGATTCACTCCTGTGAGAAATTCTCTTTAAATTGCGTATCTGATGCTTCCCCAGTACTGTTCCCCTTTCCTTCTTGCATTATGGAAAAATTCTATGAAAAATTATGATCAAACGTGCGTGTTTTCATGTTTCTTAAACTATATCAGCTTTCTATCATAACGTGGATCTCTAATACCATTTTCTATCAATGTAGATTAACTTTAAATCTCACACAATTCAACTTTGTATTTTTTTTAAATTTAACTATTAAAATTAGAAAACATGACGATTTAATTGAATTGAGATTAAAATTAATTTATATCAATAGAAACAAGCATGAAATAAATTCTATAAGTCTATTCATGTTGCTTTTTGAAATGCTTGAAATTCCGAAAACTTTTTACATCTAAACTGAGATGAATAATGTAGGTATATTCGGACGTTGAAGAAAAGAAAGAAAACGAAGATATTAGTGACCTGTTCATTTTCCATACCCGAGGCCTGAACTTCTTGCACATTGGAGAGAAAAAGTCAAGATATGAACTGTGCGAAAAAAGCTTAGTCCCAAGGTATGGAAAAAAGACAGAAAGCTTGCTTGCACTTTTTGAAGCAACGCGACAGACTTCAGCCTCCCCCTCCCCCCCCCCC